GGGGGTGCAGTTACCAGCTCAGCCTGCTGGGGGCGCCTCAGGGGGAACCGACATTCTGTTACCTGGGTTGTAACCGAAGGGGAGCTCGGGGACAGACGTGGGCACGGTCACGCCAGCCTGGGGTTTGCTAAAGCTGCTCAGGGGCGGGAGCATCTTGGAGCCCCACCTGAGTCCCGATTGATGATGATGATGATGGTAATAACAAGTTGAATAACTCATCTCTTACACCAAATAAAAACCATCTAATCCCTACCGTTGACTTTATGGAAAAAATGACACCTTGATATAAGTAAAAAAGAGTAAAACTAGAAAAACAAATAAAAACCACGAATTCAACTCAAAGCTGTGTCTGCATCACTGTTAAAAGTTCCCACTGACGTTCCATCAGGATCTCACGACTTATTTTTTTCAACATCTTCAAATAACACAGACCAGTCTAGTGCCTTCTGGCTTTAACTGGGGTCATTAAAACTGCTCCTAATTATGACATAAAGCAACAGCAGGGAGGCGGGCCAGGAGGCCGGCACCTGCGGGGTCGGTGGAGGGGCTGTCGCCGCCGGGGTCCGTCGCCGGTGAGCACGCAGCTGCTCGGGACGCGAAGGGCAGCCCGAGGGTCAGCAGCCGGGACCCGGCTCTCACCCTAGGTTCACCAGCCAGGTGACTGGGGGCAAATCGCTTAATAGCTTCATGCCTTAGGAGCCTCGTGTATAAAATGCCCCAAGGATGCAAATTTAAAAATGTGCAAAGTGCTAGGAACAGGGATTGGCACGGCCTGAGCGTTAGAAGCGTTGGATGCTAGCAAGACCCCAGCACCCGCCCCCCCAGCAACCCCCCCTGAAGGCTGGAGGGCCGAGGGGAGGACGCTGCCCAGACACTTACGTCCCAGGTTATGACCAGCTCGGACCGGCTCCCGCCTCCTCCGCTGACCTCGGAAGGAGGCACCTCTGGAACTGCGAGGGGGGAGAGACAGAGGTGAAAACGACCTGCATGTGCTAACGTGTATCTGAAAGAAGATACAATGTTGCTTGTTTTTCACATTTGAAATACTTTGATCATTGGCACATTCTATGTGTGTGTGTGCATATATGCAACATATATCTTCACGTATGTACACAGCTGACCCTTGAGCAACACGTATACATGGACTTTTCTCAGTAAACACCTGCACGGTGTTTCACCTGCAGCCTGGACTCCTCGGATGCCGAGAGACAGCTGTACACCTGGGTCCTCAACATGTTACACAGGGGCTTGAACACCTGGGAGTTTTTAATCCACAGGGGTCCCGGAACCAACCCCCTGTGGGTACAGCTTAAGTCTACAGAGAGTCAGAAGTTCTGCAGGTATTGTCAACGACATGGGGGTCAGTGCCCCTGCCCCCCATGTTGTCCAAGGGTAAACCGCATATACCTTTGGGGAAATCATTACGTAACTTCTATGAAATTATCAGATTCAAACAATAAGGAAAAATGGTTCAGTCTGAAGGGAAATAAAACAAGACACTGTTTCACCAGGAACAATAGAAGGATGATTTAATTCTCGAATCAACAGTGGCTTTACGTAAAAATGCCCAGACTCGAAGCCTAGAGTCCAAGACGAGATGCTCTTACTGCCTCGCACAGGTGTCAGCTTCCTCAGGTACGTGAGACCACGCTGAGGAAGCCTGGTCACAGCTGGGACACGGCTGGGACACGGCTGGGACACGGGGGCCCCGCAGGCTGGCCTTGTTCACAGCTGTCCCCACTGCATATAGAAGGTGCTCAGCCCACAGTGGATACTCCTCAAATATGCCACGTGAGTCCACGAACAAGCACCATGGCAGACGTGGTCCCCATTTCTCACAATACCCGGCACCAGTGTTCTCTGCATTGTCGCGTGAAACAGCATTGCTCAAGTTACTGAACCACGTGCCACGAGGCATGTTTGGCTCAGGACCTAAATCAACACACCAGCTCCATGTAAAACATCACTTTACTGAACACCATTTAATATTATAGATTCCGTGAGGAAAACCATTAGGTCCCCGGGATGCCTCGGTAATGTGACATTGTGCACTTTTCTAATTTTCAGCTGTGACGTTAGGATATTTTTAGAATTATAAAAGCCTTCTGGTTCACATGGTCGTTTCCCCACGTGGAAAATTTTAGCCACAGTTCTCTCCTTAATACTCAAGGGGCCAAAATGTACAACTTCTCAACTGCTTGACCTCGTTCAGGAGCCGGGGGCAGTGGGAGGTCCCTGGCCGCCGACTCCCAAACACCATGATCCCCCAATTTGCCAGGGCTCCTTACAAATGAAAACAGCAGTTCCCCTGCCAGCAGGGTGACTGTGCCAGAGAGCAATTATCACTTTAAGTGACAAAACCAGATCCACTCAACACGCACTAATGAGCCCCAGTGACATGCTGGATGCTCAGAATTGTCACACTGCATCGGTCACTTTCACCGGGGCCTCTGACAAATGCCACGCGGCCAGTCCTGCCACTGATGGGGGATCATGGCACCGATGGGTCTCCCGCTGGCCTGGAGACCACGACCGAGGGAAATGCAAACTCACACCCAGGACACCTGCCAACCCGTTTACTCAGGAAGCGAAACACTAACCTGCCTCTTCAGTTCTTACTTTTTCTGAGGGCAAGCTGGGCTCTCCACCTCCGATTCGGTTGCTGGCTACGACCCGGAATTCGTACTCCACCCACGGGTTTAACTCGACTACGGTCGCGGTGCGCGTGCTCCCGTCGATGACCTCGGGCACTGCAGGGGAGCGAGGCCGAGAGGTCCGAGGCCGTGGGTCTCAGCTCTGGATTGAAACCCGCTGCGGGGAGCCGGCGGCACCTGTCTGCCCCCCTTTACCTGTCGTGGCGGTTTGCCAGCCCACGGAGAAAGGCGTCCGCGCCTGGACGGAGTAGGACGTGACTGGGCTGTGGTTGTCTGTACCTTCTGTCCAAGACAGCTGGGCCGTTGTGTCCGTAATCTCATTCACCTTCACGTTCTGTGGTGGCCCCGGGGAGCCTGGGGAAGGCGAGAATGGGCGGCTGTACCACAAACAGCCCCTCCTACCGGAGGGAAGGACGTGTCCCAGGACCACCTTCATACCGCAGCGGGTCCCAATTTCAAAAGCACTGAGGGAAAAGGCCATTCGCCCGTCCTACACTGCCCTCCCTCCACACACACGCATCTCTTAGAGCTGAAGCGAGGCAGCGATTCCCACATCAGGACGCTCCACGGCTCTGCGTGATGCCCCCTCCTGAGGCCTCCGCTCAGAAGGATTCCCGCACCTTGCCACGTTCCACATCCTTAGCTCTGGGCGCGATGCCCACTCCGCCCATCCACTGGCATCTCCTCCGTCGTCCCCAGTGTATCGTCTGGGGCTGTTATACTCTGAGGCACTGGGGCTGTTTTTCAGCCCAGAAGCAAATCAGTACCTTGGTCAGCAGTTCAGATTGTCTCAGGCATCCTGGGTGATGCTGACTCTTTTGGAGTTTCCACACGCACGCACACACGCATACATGCACACATGCACACACACATACACGCACACATGCATACACGCACACATACATGCACACACATGCACGCACACATGCATACACACATATGTGCACACACGCACACATGCACACATGCACATGCATGTACAGTCACTATTCCCCCTGGTAGCAAACACGATCGCTGAGTTAACGACATGCTCCCAGCACATCAACGGAGCAGCTGCTGGGAAAGCTCACTCCCGCGAGAGCCGTATGGGGTTGGAGCTGAGACTTTTATTTCTCTGAATTTGCACCCATCCTTCCTGTCACATTCTCGGGTGGGGGATCAGTATTAAAATCACGTGTGTGTGCTAACTCGTCCTGGATTTCCCTGCAGGAGGAAGGGCCCAGGTGAGATGTTAAATTGGAAGCACCAGGCGGCATCGACGTTTACCTCTCACCACCAGGTCAGCGGCCGACGAGACGCTGTCCACCCCGCTCTGCACCACGCAGACGTACCTCCCGCTGTGCTTCAGCTGAATGTTCCTGATCATTAAGTCGCCCGACGAGCTCTGCTGGAAAAAACACGTGGTGAGCACACTTTCATGTTGCAGACGCACAGAATCGAGAAGGCCGTGGCCACCACTGCCCTCGGGAGGAAGCCTGTTTCCAGAGAGGAGACCACGGCGGGGAGAGGAAGACGACACACTAGGACGTGGAAACAGGAATGCGTGAGACCACGCAGGACCACGGACAGACTTCCGTGGCTAAATGACCAGCTTTCCTCCCTGCATTTATGGTTTCAAAATAAATAAGGGCAGAAATTACAGTCTCAGAGGCCATTTCCTCCTGCCTGGTGACACTTCTCTTTATATCCACCCTCGGCACCCGCTCGCTCGCTTCTCCGGTCCCCACCTCTGTCAAATCTCCCGAGAAGAGGGAAGCGTGTAGGCCTCTGGGGGAGATACAGGCAGCAGGGCAGGGGGTCCCCGTGGTCCAATCACACTGGAGCTTAAATTCCAAAAGCCACTTAATTCAACTTCTCTACAGAATAGAGGGACTGCCAATAGAAACCTCTCAACAAGAAGATATTAAAACTTAAAAAAAAATGTTTTTATTGACTTTTAGAGGGAGAGGAAGGAGAGGGAGAGAGACAAACGTGGATGTGAGAGAGAAACATCCATCAGCGGCCTCCCACGTGCACCCCAACCGAGGATCAAGCCCAAAGCCTGGGCACGTGCCCTGACCGGGAATCAACCGGCAACTGTTCAGTGCACGAACGACGCCCGCCAACTGAGCCACACCGGCCAGGGTGAGATTAAACATTTAAACTCTAAAGATAACAGCTGTCCATGAAGACACTGGCTGGCACCTTGCCCCTGGTGCCAATTAATGGAGCAAATGTATTTCTGGAGGCTCAACTGCAAATGGTCCTTGTTTTAAGAGAATGTAAAATTATGCCCATAAAACTACTAACTGCAGGCCAGTTTCACGCACCAGTAAAAATACAGATCGAAATAAAACGATTCAGAAAGCAAAGCCCTCTGAAAACGGTCCCCGACAGCAACTCCTCTGCGCTGGCTCAGAGGAGGGGCCACCGTGTTTATCTTGTGTATTAAAAGAAGGATCTGACTCTGTTTTCCTTGTGTCTGTGGGAAGGTGGGTTCTACTCTCTCGCTTTTAGGAAATTTCCTACGATCTCCGACGCTCTAACCACTGAACCACACCGGCCAGGGCTCAAATCAAATTCTGTATCTAAGAATTAAAGTTAAGACAAGAGGTGGGTCGGAGGCCAGGTCTTCAGCACCCCGGACAGTGGCCTTTCTGAAGGTGAGATTCCACCTTCTCCCCCAGGACAGGGAAGCGTGGACCCTGGGTGTGGGGTAGGAGGGGAGAACACCGGCGGGTGCCCCTCCCGGCTGGGATAGAAGAAATTAGTGACTTTAAAATAAAAAGGGGCATCCAAAGCGACAGTGGGAGAAACGCCAACGGGCTGTAGCCACTGGTCAAGTTCTCAGCAGCCCCGGTCCCTCAGAACAATTCACGAGGAGCCCGAACGGCCACGATGGAATCAGCCAGATGACGGAAACCAGAGGCGGCGGAGCCTGGAGCCTCGTTCTGCACGGAGGCTCGGTTTCCAAACACCCTCATGCCCTTTCCCTTTAAAAGCCCATCTGCTCAGCCTGACAGTCTCACGCTCGGTCCTAAGCAGATGGGCTTTTAAAGACAAAAAAAGTGGAGATGTTTGGAAACCGAGCCTCCGTTAAGGACGGTTTCACCGCAACAGAAGAGGTCATGACCCACAGGACTTCGCTCAGACCCGGGATGTGAGGCCGAAGCAGCAAATGAACAAACTAAAAACAAACAAAACCCCTCAGCACGGTGGTGACCAGAGGGAGGGGTGGGGGGCTAGGGAAGGGCAAGGGGGTCAAACGTACGGTGACGGAAGAAGGTCTGGCCTGGGCGGTGGGCCCACAGTGCCACACACAGGCGATGTATCAGAAGCCTGCACTTGAAACCTGAATAATCTTACTTGCCAGTGTCACTCAAACATTCAGTAAATACAGACGGTCTGTATTGGGTTCCACAGCTGCCGGAACAAGCAGCACGGACGGGGCGGCTTAAGCCAACAGAGCTCGAGTCTCCTGCAACTCCAGGACCAGGAGCCTGAATCGAGGTCTCCCCAGCCTGCAGCGTAGGACCCCCTTTGCGCCTTCCCGGTCTCTGTGGCTTCCCGTGGCTGTGGAAGCGTGGCGTCAGCTTCTGCCCATCTCCACGTGGCCCGTTTCCCTGTGTCTGTGTCTGTCATGGTTTCTCCTCTCCGTGAGATTTCCCTCCTCCTGTGAGGCTGTTGGTCGNCGGTTCCTCCTCTCCGTGAGATTTCCCTCCTCCTGTGAGGCTGTTGGTCGTACTGAACTAGGGCCCGTCCTATCCAGTGGACCTCGAGGTAACTGAGCTCCGTCCGCCACGAGCCTGCTTCCAAACGAGGCCACATTCTGACACACGAGTGTGAGAAAGGACCGTCTCTGCTGCTGTCCACGGCGATACCCACACTCAGAAAACAGCAGCCGACACGACCAGACGCGCGTGCCTCCCGGAGTGAGCACCACAGCCACAGGTTAGCTAAGGGCTCAGTCCCGCAGGACGCCCACTGACACCAGTCCCACGCCTCTGCTGTCACCGGTGCTTCTGACCCACCGGCTATAAATCCGGGTCCTGTGACTCTCCTCCTTGGGTTCAATAATTTGCTAGACTGGCTCACAGAACTGAGGGAAACGTTTACTTACATTCACCAGTTTATTATCAAGGACACGATAAAGGGCAGTTAAAATAATTCCATCAGATCCGGACAGAGCTGAGAGCCCAGGTGTGCTCAGCGTCGGGCTCGTGCCTGTTTCTCTCCACGGGGGTCACCGCGCAGAGCCCCGTCTACAGAGCGGGGGGAGGGGGTGGACTCACCCCGCCGGCCTTCTCCAGGTGGGACCCGTCCCTCTGGAAGTCGGTGAGCACCCCGTTGAAGTACCAGGCAAAGGCAATGTCCAGCAGGGGGTCGTGCCGCACCTGGCAGGGCAGGATGACGCTCTCGCCCACGGCCACGTCCAGGCTGGAGGGCGCCACCGTGATCCTCGTGGGCTCTGGGGGCGGCGATAATAGGGTTTTAGGCAAAACGTCAGCTCCTGAGGTAGAAGAAAGCGACTTTCGCAGGCAGATTGCTAATCTAACCCGGAGCGTGCCCGTTTGGATGTGCGTACGTGTGGACACATAGGTCTGTACAATGAAAACTCTTCAAGATGAAGGAGACATTTTTATGCATTTCTACAGCATATTTCCTTGGACCCACAAATTTTTGTTAAAATAATTGCATCTGAATTTACAGGATGTATAAATTTAAAAACTGAAGCCACCTGTAAATGAGAGTTATGACGCCCCCACGAAATCGATTTCTACGGAGATTTATTGCTCTGTGGGGCACAGAGGCAGACACGGCAACACTGTCTCTCTAACGCCGAACGACGGGAGAAGGGATTATGGCGACACCGAAACAGACTCAAACAGACTCTACTTTTGCTGACATCAAGGGTCCTCCCTGGACTTAAACGTCTCCAGCATCATCTAGGATGTAGAAAACGACAAAGACCTGCCAGCAGGACAGCGCCACCCGGCGGGCGCTCAGCACAGTGGCCGATGTCCGTGGGTCTGTGAGGAATGTTCACTTTCACGCGTTAACAGGGCGGGTGCAGACACGCGTGCACCTTACACTCCGAGGTGGTCCTGCTCTGACAGCAGGCACAGGCCCAGCCGCCCGCCTGGAGACCCACCTGTGACCACCAGGTGCGTGGAGTCGTTCGCCCTCCCGAACTGGTTTTCCGCGAAGCAGGTGTAGGTCCCAGCGTCGGCTTTAGTCACGTTGGCTATTTTGAGCCCTCCGTCTTTTAGAAAAGAAATTCTAAAGGAAATACAAATTAGACAAATAAAGGCACAGTAGTCCCATTTCCCCCCAAACAAAGAGCAATTTTCTAACAGAAGTGTTACCTTAAGCTAGTACTTCTAAGGCCTTCGTGAGAATAAAGAAAATGAGAGGAAATTTTGCCCCCCCCCCCC